TCAGGGATTGAGAACTGCTACTAGCTTGGGATATACTCTTTTCAGACATTGCTCTATGTGCACACACATTTTTATAAATCTAAAACCAGCTTTATGTGCTACACTCAAATTAACTGATTTTCAACAATAGTTCAGAACAATTTCCCTCTCATTTGGTCATTATGACCAAAGTTTGTTTCCCTCCACATGTATCATGAACAAAGGGCAATTCTAGCATAGTTATACAGCTGTGCTCAGCGGCTCATGCCTGGGGGCCCAGCTACTCAGGATGCTGAGCCAGGAGGACTAGTTGAAGCCAGGGGTTCAAGATCAGCCTGGGCAACATAGCAAGACCCCACATCTATGGCTAATTTTAAAAAATTAACCATTTAAAAATGTTTAAAAAACATTTTTTAAAAATCAGCATGCACCAGTAGTTCTAGCTACCTGGAAGGCTAAAGAGGGAGGATTACTTGAGCCCAGGAGTTCAAGGTTGCAGTGAACTATGATCATCCCTGGGTGACAGAGTAAGACCCTATCTCTAAAAAAATAAAATAAAATAAAAAATAAGCATATGGATACATTTTACATATTTTGAAAAGAATTTCCAAAGGGAAGGTGATTTGAAATGTTCCCCCCAAAATAGATAAATAGTGTCACTGGACTGAGCCTTTTTCAGGCCAGAGGCTGGTTCCTTTCTATACTTCAACTTGTGGCCAAGTTTCACGGGCCTTATCCTTTGATATGCTCACATCTCCCTTGAGAACATTCTTTTAGCTGTATGTTACCTCCTTCTTCCTGAGATATCAAATTCAATACACTTGTTACTGTAATTATTACATGTTCTATCTCCCCTGCAAGGAATGGCTACAAAAATATACATTTTAAAATTCTAAATTTGGTTTAATGTCAGTCAAACATGAAAAAAAAAATCCAAGATTCACAAGAACTATTTCTGTATCGGTAAGGATTTTACTAGTATCATTAAGCTGCATTTTGCACCTTTGAATTCAATTGCATTTCCTTCAAACTATCCTTTTCTCCTTTAATATTGTTTAAATCTATGTAATGAGATGGTCTAAATACATCATTGTGCTCCATAGAACATTTTGCAGCTTGGTAGCAATGGCACAAGCAGCGAGTCGGCAAGCATGTATTAAGTACTTACTGTGTACAGCACATCCTGTGCTGGGCCTTAGGGAAACCAAGGGGAAGGTAACTGCCCTAGAGCAGTTCCCTGGCTAGTGGGCAGGCTGGATGCAGGGAAGGAGAACAGCACACAGTGAAGCGAAGCAAGGCAGCAAGGACACACTGTGTTTGGGATGAGATGAAGAGCTTGGTGTGCTGGGGCCGAGGACTGTGCAAGGGGGGGGGTGACAGTGTTGGTGACACAGGTGCCTTGTGTGAGGTCTTGGGCTTGAATTTTTCCCTGCAGGTATGGGCAGGATCTCTGAAGATTTCCACATAGGATGATGAGGTAACGTTAAGAAATGTTACTTAGCTGTCCACCTCAATTATGCCAAGAACCAGGAAATAAACCCAACTGTGACTTGTTCCAAACAAATGTAAAAAATTCACAAACCGCAGCCTGTACACATGCATCATCAGAAACTACTGAGGCCGTCAGTGGGCTCTGTGTACTATTATTCTGGACAAAAAGATAATAATCTCCATTATCCGGTTTCCCAGACTATACCAGAGAAGAAAACAGCAGATGCAAAGGAGGGAGAGGGGAGTCGCCAGAGGCAGGTGCACTGACAACAACAAAATGCAAGAACTGAGCAAGATAAGAACTCAGGAACTCCGGGAGCCAGAGCAGGTGCACGGTGGGGTCTCAGGCCCGCCTTGCCAGGTAGCTTTGAGGATGAGATGAGATTTATGAAGATTTAAAATTCATGTAGGTGGCCAGGCACAGTGGCTCACGCCTGTAATCCTAGCACTCTGGGAGGCTGAGGCGGGGGATCACTCAAGGTCAGGAGTTCGAAAGCAGCCTGGGCAAGAGCAAGACCCCGTCTCTACTAAAAATAGAAAGAAATTA